AAAGAGAGTGATATGCTAAAACCACTCCTCAGAGAAAGCCATTCCTCCCCTCACAATCACTATTTCTGGTCAGAGATCTGCTGTATGTATAGCTTTTCTCTCCCAGCAGAAAGAAACTAATAGAAAATATGAACAAAATTAAGAAATGGGAAAATACAAAAATGATGAAATCATAAACATTTCTTCACAATGGAGAAGCCAAAACACATCTCAAGACTCAAGATTCTTTAAGTGGATGAATTACCTGCAAAGCTAAGTGGATTGTAAGTCTCAATAGCATTGGTGGTTTGGTGATGATCACACCACAATTACTGCTTTTATTATTTGTTGAGTACATGTAATGTAAAATGAGTGAGCATGTTGCTTTATTTAAGAGTTTATAAGCTATATATTTCTCAAGAAGTATGTCAAATGCAAAGATAGAGATGCAAAAATAAGCAGCAGATTAGAACTACCACTTTTATTCCCAGATGCCCATGACCACAAAAAAAAAATGCAAGGAGGATAGATATGTCAGAGTTCACCTAAGTTTAAGACATATGTTTGTTCCTGACAGCTCTTCATCACACTGCCTTACTGAAGTTCCCAAACTGCCCTCAAGAACTAGTGGCAAGACAACTACTACTGGGACACAAACAGAAGAGACAGAACTGGATGTAAGCTGGTTATTACAGAGGACCCTGCTCTTCACTGACTTCTGACTTTCCAGGTGTATTCTCCAGAAATACTGATCATTTTTGAAGGGCCAATGTGAAATACAAGAAGGATTCAAGTGAGACTTTCTGGCACAGCACATGATGTAACCTGCATTCCTTCTGAAAAGAAGCTCCCTCAGAAGTCCCAACCAACCTCCTCTTAGCAGCACTAAGTCTGTGCTGGTAACAAGCCACTAAGTTTTACATAGCCTATAAGGCATGACTTAACTTCATAAAGCGTTTCAAGAAACTCCAGTAAACCCAAGTTTTTTCAAAGCGGTATGTGGCTGGCAAGCGCTGTCTAGCCTCTTATTTTATTCTCTGATATGGTGATAATCCTCATGAGTATTAAACTGCTCTGATCAAAAATTCTTTTTCAAAGCTTATTTTCTTGTGTCTGTTCAGTTACCCTTAACAGGTCATATTTCAGCCTCTAAAATCACAGTAGAGGAACTGGCCGGGTATTAGCCAAGGAGAGAGCCTTATTCAGTGTATATTGTTGGCCTTAGGGAAGAATTTGTCATCTTGAAAATACTGAAGTAAACAGAGCCCAACTTAGTAGCAAACAACTGTTTGCCAGCAGACAACTCTTAAGCTATTTTCTGTGTGATCAATTCACCAATTAAAACACGAGCACATCAATTCCTTTTATCTAATTCATGATTTAAGTCATCCATCCAGCCTCCTTAAGGACTTAATATATATCCAATCTTTACAACTCCTATTCAGAGAAAAATATCATCATACGAGGCAGGTAACAAGAGACTAGTTACCAATAGATTATGTGACTCTCCCTCCTCAAGAATTCACAGAACATCTACAACAAAGCTTTGAACAGACTTCAAGTAATTTCCATCTTGATCCACTTTAATCTTTGTTACTATCCCAGACCTTGCCCAATACTCTGATCATAAGCTAAAAGTCCCCAAAAGTCACACATATTCCTATCTCAAGGCAGAGCTGACAAGACTCTGTGGGAAACTCCATATTTGTTGGAGATTTCTATTTCTTTAGGAAGTGAGACATTTAAATAATGCCCCTCACTAGAATTAATATGCAAGGTCATTAAGTGGGATTTGGATTCATAAGTCCAATTAACATCAAAGGAAGTGGAACAGCAAAATAGTCTGATTTAGTTCCCTAAAGATATACCCAACAGATCTCTATCAAACTAATTAAAGAATGACATTCCAGGCTGAATGTCCAGTCACTGGGACTCCTTTGGGGCAAAAGTACTCCAGGTGCTCCCAAACATAGCAGGCATGTGTTATGTAAACTGCTACCAGACAAGTGCTAGAAACGGCTCCCATACAAATGCTGAAACTAAAGCCCCTAATTAACTGCACACACATCAGAGAACTATAATGTGGTCTGCCTGGTGTTCAGTAACAAAGGTCCAACACAAGAGAGGAGACTATGGATAGGTCAGGAGCAAGCCAGAACACAGAAATACTCTACCTCAACACTATTTGTGGAGACAAGTATGTAGCTGATACAATACACGTTAAAAAACCCTTGAACTCAAATGGGTCATAGTCTGAGGAAATGCAAAAAGATACCTTGTCCTCCCCATTCTCACACTAGGATCACGATCTTACAAGAAAACGTTATGAAGAACCTCTACTCATCTGGAACTGGGGTGTCAAAAGCAGCAAATGGCTTTTCTTTTTATAATTAAAAAAAAAGTGAGTATACAGTTTACACACTCTCATTCTTGTGAGCAGTCTTCATTCTTCAGTTCTAAAAGGAAAAGAACTTAAGCAAGGTCACAGCCAACCTGTTAAATGGCAACAACATAACAACTCACTAGTGGAAGCAAGACACTGCTTTGTGGAGAAACAGAACAATACTGACTAGAGTACTTCCTTGATTCACTATTTTTTAACCAAGCCAGTATCTATCTCAACTGGACATGGAAGCTCATAAATCTGTTCTCCATCCCTATGCAGTATGGATGTGCCCTAGATCAAGAACTTCCCAAAATACCCTGTAAAGAAGTGCTGATGTCCTTTCTTTATATCTACTATATTCTAAGGACACACCAAACTTTACTACTAAATAGGCTGGAACATCCTCCCCCCAGATACAGTACTCAAAATTCAGCTCATTAATACATTTTTTCCTGAACTTTTTGCCACACTGCCTTTAACACTTGCAGTACGTTGTTGCTATGGATCTCAGATCTGAGTTGTGGATTAGGGTTAATTAATGGAAAGATTCACTCTAGTTCTAGTATTACAGAATATTCCAGAACACATTCCCATGCTCTGTTACTACACTCAAAAATATTATAGCAGAAAGTGTGAAGCACAGATGCAGATTCCAAGTGGATGAGCAGCCAGAGGCTGACCTGCATTACAGCAGGTGATACAACCTGCACCTGATATAAGTCGAAAGCAGGAAAGAGGCATGGTTAGAATGTCTCCATCCTGTATCTTGGCTGTATTTCTGGTCATAGCCGCCACTTTACTTTCAAGGCTATTGTTTTCTAGTGTTAGGAACCAAGCCATTAGAGTGCTGCTCTTTAACTAATACCAAGCAAAGAAGAATTTTTATCTATTTTGCACATCATGCAGGTGAACTCCAGCCCAAGATGTGGCTCAGTGTGCTGATCTGGAGCCTGGCTGTAGCTTATTATCAGAGAGGGAAAAGTAAGTTCACCGACAGGTCCCACGACGTCTGAGGATGTGTGGCAGAGACTTACCAAGAGCCCCACAACAAAAGCTTTTATTTAAATTCTCCCGTGTACCTTCTATTTTGCAAAACATTCAGTAATAATGAGTGCATTGTTACTGACAAGTCTAACGTTAAGAGTTTACTTCACATGGACACCTGTGAAGGCTTTAGCTTTATTTAAAATGATTAGGATTTACAGAGAAAAAACGCCCCAACTAAACAAATACATCATTAAGAACACTGGGGGAAGAAGAGAAAAAGGTAGACATAAAGAGGTAGTAGGCAAGTGAAACAGGAAGTAACAGGTAGTAACGTGGTAATAGCTAGTTAACTAATTCACAGGGAATGACAATAGCACTTAAAAAGAGAGACCATAAAGATAGAGGCTGATAAAAGGGAAGATGAAGAGCCAAGTGTTCTCCAGCCACGGTGACAAGTAAACGTAATTCTAAGGGAGCTACTGGGAATTAGTCATCCAGCTGTTTCCAGTCTATGTTGGAGATGCATGTGTCTGGCATTGGTTATGTCAGACCTGTGCTACATCCATCCCTCACTTCATTGAGGCCTTTTGTGGACTAGAACTGACAGGATTTTAGAATGGCAAAAGAACTGCTCTTATACCTTTCCTATTTAGTGACTGCTTGACTGAGAGTAATATTGTGATAAAAAAATGGCACCTCTGTCAGGAGCTCATAATAGATATCGAGGAGGACTACAGGACAGGCCACACATCCAGCAAAACTCCTATATACTCCTATATACTCTTTTATAAAAACTCAATCATCTCTGACTAAAGTACTTCTGAATAAAAAGGGGTACCTTTGCATCTGATAGACTTCAATCAATTTCTTCCATGGATTTGTTGAGGTGCTTTTTGCACTCATGTAATTTTTTAGCATCCATTATGTTCTTTAATAAGGTAAGCCTAAATATTTCACATCTGAATGATTAGGCTGTGTGAAACAACATCCTTGTTTTAAACAATGTGCTTGCTAGTTTCTTTTGATGATTCTCAATGGTTCTGTCAGAAGGGACAATGAATAATTTTGCATATCCACTTACTCCATAACAATCAGAATTTCCAAAATGAGATCTTGTGCACATCCCCCATTTTATAGGTGTACAAATGGAGGCAGGAAGAAGGAAGAAGGCTTACTCAAGATAATCTAGTAGGCTAACAGAAGAAGTAGGCATAGAAACTGCATTATTTTAGTTCTTAGTGTCCTAGCTATATAATAACTTTTCAGTTTCCAGAATTTTTATTTTCAGTAAACAAAAACTGACTTAGATTTAAAAGAAAACAAACACACTGAGAAGGCTGGGAAACATTATCATTTATACTGAAAGCTGTAATTTAGAAGGAAAACTCTTCAGACCGTCAGGCAGCCTTCCTTTCTAATCAATGTCACCTCTATACATACCCATTTTAACACATTTCATTCATGACCAGAGGCCAAGGGATCATCAGAAAGTTATCCACTACTATCAGCATAGACACATATATCTGCAAACTAAAGAAATCACAAAGATTCAGCCCCCTCCCTTGTTTACCTCACTTTTAATTCAATTTTTTGCATCAATTTTACAAATACTGACAGCTCCACAGGATTCAACATTAAATGTTCTTACCTTAGCTGATATGGAGGTATCTTGATAGCAGCATCGGGAGAATCCAAGGTTTCTGTATAATCAAAGGAAACAACAGGGCTTTTAAAAGAAACTTCTGAGTTCAACCACAGTAATACATCTGGCTACAATCTCTGAACTAATGATCCTAAAGTTTACACCTACTTCAGCTGACAAAACAAAAATCACTGCTGCTCCAAGTCCACAAAACTTTGCATAAATTTGTCAGGAGCCTGAGTGCCCAATGAAAAGGCATGGAGTACCATCTTTTCCACTTTCACATATCAGCACTTCGGCAGCACAGATACTAAAACTGGAACAGTATATGGGATATTTGCATGGCTTCTGTGCAAGAGTAACACACAATTAATGAAGCAATCCATGGAACATCAAGATGAAAGGCCAGTAATAAGACAGCAACAGGTATGAATTATCACAGAACGCTGTAGCTATGTATGGAAGAAAAATAAAAATTTGAAGTAGTTGAAAGTATCACAGTTATGATGATGTAAGTTAGGAGTCTTGCTGACGAGTGCTCCAGGTTCCTAGCGTCAAAAAACACTTCAAGTCACAAACAATCTTGCAAAATGGGTGGATGCTGAAATGCATCTAAGCTTGTATTCCCTTAAAAAATGAACTCGTTATACTGATCACTTGCATTATACAGCAAGGATAAAAGAGCTCATGGAATCCAGTAAAACAAAACTCCTAGCTTTTAAAATAGATTCCCGAACACAAGCCAGCAGTAAAAACTATGCTGGATTTTTTTTTTACGATGATTTAGGGGAAGGAGGATGATTTAAGGAAAAGACAGCCCCCCCCAAACATACAGGGAAAGTGACAGCTACTGATACCCGTATCTGCCTGGCAAGCGCCACGAAACAGACCGAGGAGGTGGGGAGGGCGAGGGACACGGATATCCTCCGGGACCGGTAGCAGGTGCCACGGCCTCTTCCAGCAGCGCGGAGCTCCCGGGCATTTTGAAGAGCCCGAGGCGCTCCGGTCGCTCCCCACTCGCCGGAGGCTCAGCGGCCGGCGCGGAACAAGTTTGCTGAGGTCTCCCTGCCCCCGCTGTTACAAAACCTCTCCATCACCGGCTCCTGCCCCGCTCCGCTCCCCGCGGCAGCCCGGCCGCGGCGGGGTCAGCCCGCGCCCCCCGCCCCGTACCGATGGCCCAGGTGCAGCTCTCCTTGATGGCCCTGTGCTTGCTCCCCGACGCCTCCTTCTGCAGCTTTCGCAGGATTTCTTCCATCTTGCCTCCCTCGGGATCTTCGCCTAGCCGCGGGGGAAGAGAAGCAGGCGGCGAGCAGGAGGAGGAGGAGGAGGAGGAGGAGGAGGGCGGTGCGGGCGGCAGAGCCGTGCCGGGGCTGCCCCCGCCGCAGCAGTGCCTACGCGGGAGCGGAGCGCGGCATCCCGCTGCCGCCCCGCCGCTGCTGATGAATCACGCCGAGCTCCATGGCGGGGACACGTCAGTTGTTGCCGCTGCGGAGTCCCTCCTCCTCCTCCTCCTCCTCTCCCACCCCGGGCAGGCCCCGGTGGCGCAGCGGGGCTGGGGCCGGGCCTGGCACTGCCCACGGGAGCACAGGGACTCCCTTCTCGGCGGGAGGGCGGAGAACCCTTAGAGCAGGGCCGGCGCCGCCAGAGCCGGACCCTGCGGCGGCAGCAGCCCCGCGGGAGGCGCACGGCGCGGGCAGGCGGGTCGCCATGGCGACCGGCGGCGGGGGGCGCCGGCAGCCCGGCCTGCCCGCCCCCGGGCAGCGGGAGGGGCGCGCTGGGGCCGCCTGCACCTCGGACTCCGCGCGTCCAACGGGGCACTCGCGGGGTCGGGCGGAGGTGCTGCTCTTGCTTTCGCCCGGCCACCCTGCTGCTGAGCGCGGCTCGGGACTGCAGGGCAGGATTCCTGCTCCCCAGCCATGCCAGCCTGGCTCTCCGCTCCCGGCAGCGCTGCCGCAGCGCAATCCCTCCGGCCCGCAGCGTCCTGCGGAGCCGCGGGCGCTGTCGCACCGGGACAGACACAAGGAGCCAGGCCTCCACACCGCCGTGTGTGCCGGCTCTGGTTATCCCCTGAAATGACTAGAGTCAAATAAATGGCCGTGTGCCCTGCGGGATCTACGCCTCTCTCTCCAGCTGGCAAGTGCAGAAGGTCACGACTTGTCACTTGTCTGTGCCTTGAAAAGAACGCACACCCATGTGCCCCCCATCAAGCCATCCCCCAGGCGAGAAAACAGCCACTCTGCTAGCTCAGACAGTCCTCCTCACGCTCGGAATGCTTCCTACCCACCAAACCCCCTGCCTTCTTCAGTGTGCTGTTCTTTTGCCGTATCTCTAGTTTATACGGTACTTGCCCTTTTTGTGACTGCATCGGTTAATTGAGTGTTACAATGTCGTTGTCTTCTTGCAGAATCTCTCTAAAAAGATACAAGAGGACAAGCAGACAAGGAAAAAAAAACCCAAACAGATAAGAAGGGCATTCCAGGTATCAGCTGGCAGTATTAGCGGTTATGTCTCCTACTGCTAATTGGAAGAGTACCAATTGTGAATTACCAGGCAGAATATTGGCACCTGGTGAATCAGCCATAGCATTTCCCACAGGATATTGGGCTCTCAAAGGCTGTCCCTTATCCAAATACTTACAAGGGCTCATCCTGTGTTCAGAAGTATGATGAATGCATAATCCATAGTCATCTTTTAAGGCCAGAATATAAAACTCCTCTCTGAAGAAAATGATTTAGAATGATGCCAGAAAGGTCTAGAGGTGGATAGGGAATGCCTAGTGCTACAACAGTAAGGATTAAAAAACCCAAACAACTCAAACAAAAAACCCCACCCAAATAAAAAAAAAAACAATCTCTAACAGAAGTAGCATTAAGCTTCCAATTTCAGGGCATAAACCAATCTCCAAGAAACCAAAAGTACTTTCCCAAAGTTTCTTATCTCTGCCCATGGTCTGCCACCTTCCTTGGACTGAAAAAAATGGTGATAGCTAGTTTGTCACGGCACTATGATACTATAAGTCAAGGCTCAAGCTGAAGTGGTGATGAATTGTTTCCCCACCTATGTCCTTCCTCTTTATTCTGTGTTGTGCTTAGAGCAAATGAGCATAAGGGTCGGTTTCTGTCTTTTCAAGGTTTTGTTTTTATTTTTCCTTGGGGGAAAAACCAAAAAGGACTGTGGTGGTGTTTGAGATATTTTTAATGTAGAAACAATGTACCAGAGTTCATCTGGACCTCTGAAACGCTAAAAGATAAATATGTATCTATAAGTAGTAAATAATTAATTGTTTATTTTCAGGGAACCATTGATGAAACTTAATTAATTTTTAATTTTAGACTATTTTCTAACTATATGCATTATCAATTCACTGGTTAATTTCTCTGTGGTCTCTACAGGAAGGCCTTTGCAGCTGGAATTTTCACCAGAGCTAGTGTTTTCATAGATGCTCGATGTCACTGAAGCAAAATTTGTATTTGTTTGTATTTCACCTGCTGTCCAGTGTCTTCCAGCAAAATGGGTTCTGTGCTGCTAAACACTTTTTCTCTGTAGTTATGTCATCGGATTGAGAGAAACAAAGGGTGTGTTCAGGCTCTCTAGAGCTGGTAAGATTATGCAGATGGAAAAGGTAAGCCATGATGACTCTTCCTGAGCATGTCAGAGTACCGTGAGTCAGCTTGTTGACACTTTTACTGTGAGGCCCTCCGTTTCGATATGAACAGGACTCCATCAGTCCTTGAGTCTGTTGTCTGTAGTAATCACATAAATACACAGTAACCATGTCCTGCTGGAAGTCAGTCACTGAATATGTTTTGCTTAGGGAGAAGGTCATGTTTAATCATGTGCTTTGGACTCTCCTTCAAGGCAAGTGGCCTTGAATGTCACAATATCTGGAAGTCCAGGTACAGAGTAGGGATGATGGTGAAGAAACCTCCTGTCTTCTGCCATGAAGAGACAACTAAGCTTTCTATGGTCACTCTTGGAGTTCACAAGTACTCCTTACCTTGTCCTGGCTGTTGAAAGCCAGCATCCTTCTACAGTGGTAGAGGCTACCTAGGAGTCAGTTCTGATGGTTCCCTGCACAGCTGAAGCCTTGTCCAACTGGAAGTCAAAAGGCTCCTGTCCAGATCTGATATCTGCAGGATGTAGTGGTCATATATCACTAAGATGCAGTGGCAGATATGCAGTGTGCTTTTGTAACTCACCTAGCAGTGCTACTGATCTTTTGCATTGTGTGAATGCTAATTATATCCTGGGATACACTCAGAGCTCTGAACACAGCCAAGAAGTGTGTAAGCAAAGCCAAGCTACTCAAAATACCCAGAGTAATAGAGTTATATTAGTACAGTTCTCTGTCTAGGCTAGTGAGCAGTATTCGCTTGACTTAGAGATCTCGATGCTACCATGTGTCTGCTACTTCCAGTAGCCAAGGAAGGCAATCCGGTCCTCGTTTAAATCTCTTCTGATAACATATAAACAGATTGTACACACCTACCCTATCATTCTAGTCTTTGAGGTCCTAAGAATGAACTAAAATATACAGTGGAAAAGTGTGAGACAAAGGCACGTTAGACTGTGAGATAATCACATATATTTCCTATTAGTTATGTATTCCCTCATGTATTCCCTGTGCTTTGGCCATTTCAACAATATGCTCGGGCAAGATCTCATTGTACGCTGCAGATGCTGGAAGGTGTGCACTGAAGAGATGGGCCGTGTCCCTTGAGAACTTCCTTCAAATTGAATTACAAAATATTAAGAAATTCCCTCTAATGACAGGTAAAACACCTTATTCCACGGTTCAAAAACATTGCTTATCCAGATTTTTCAAAATTAGTCTTTCCAGAAGCACCCCTATGGCTGGACTGACCAGATTTTCAGAAGAAGCTTAGGCTCAGTTTTGCTCAGGAAGTTCTGTACACTTGAATCCCTTTATATAGGAAAAAATTGCTCAAAAAATTTGAAGCGAAGGGGCTGTAGGTGGAAGATGGGCTCATCAGCACCTTTGTGACACCTCATACCAGATGGAGGTACCCTTCTTTCCCTCTCCCAGAAGGCAGCAAGACTCAGACAAGCAAGACCCTTGTCAGGATATGTTTTCAGTTTTGATTGTCTAGACTGTAAGATTGTAGCCTTAGATGCTTAATAGAGTTAATTTTTAAATAGAATACTGTTAAATTAGAATAAGGCCTTGCTTGCTTATACTAACTTACAGACAAGATATGGTTAACTTTATAATGAGGATTCTAGCAGAAGCAGAGGCCTTGGAGTTGTGATAAGGAGCTTTGAGAGGGACCTTGTAGATTGATAAAGGGGGACTTCGAGAGAAGGAGACAAGATGAAACCGGTTTTGAGGTGAGTGGCCATTGTCAGCACCACATTCCTTGCAAAGGAAAAGGTCAGAGCCGAGGAAGACTATTACTTCATCCAAAAAACCCCCAAATGAAGACCCCCAAGGGGCGTTCTGAGGTGGAGTTGGAGGTGTGATGTATGTTAATGATTTCCCCTCCCAATTTTCAGGAATTTGCTGACACAGCTAATGCATATGTAACACAACTAATGCATATGTAACATTGTATCACATAAAAAGGGCTGAACAAGGGGAGTAGGTGCGCATGTTTTGACAAGGCTACTCCCCATGCACCCAGCTCTGTAAATAAACATACCTGCTTCAATAGTCTGTGAGTTTTGGGGTTTGTTTCCACAAGTCACTACACAGTGAATTACCAGAGGCTATCTGAGGGGCTCAGTGAAATCCTTCCTGAGCTGGTGCTGCTTTCCGCATCCTCCACAGCATGACCTTTCTGAGCAAAGACAAAGCACTGCAAAGCACATTGAGCATGGGTGCTGCTGAGTGCAGGGATTACAGAGTTAGAGAGAAAACCCTCTGAAGTGGGAGCTTTGAATAAACCTAGCATATATTCAGAACTGTCTTTTCCATACAGCCTCACATCATTTATTCTGTAAAGAACAGTTGAAGCAAATGCAAAGTCTTGAGATCCAAGTCAGGGTAGAAATACAAGACAAGAGTTTCTGGCCTTGTTGAGATATACGTTCTGCAAAGACAGATGAGAAGCAAAAAATCCCCATAACTGCCTTCAATCTACCATAATCTTCTCATTTCCCTGAAGAGTTGCAAAGGCAGTTGATGAAGGTATCAAGAACACAGAACAGCTATTCTGTGTCAGATCAAAGTTCTTTTTACCTGGTAATATATTTCTGACAGAAGTTAGGTGGACATTCTTAAAGAAAAGGTAGAAAAAATATAATGCCTCTTCCTCTGGTAAACTCTCCATGTCTCTATTAATTTGCAGACTATGTACTTCCTGCGACAGTGGTTTTATCTTCATGTATTCAGTAATACCTGAAAGATTTTTATTCTGGGATTGTATCTAATTCCTTTTGAATCTTTTTATGCTTTTGACCTGCACAACCATCCTGTGGCAGTAAGTTCCACAGCTGAGTTCCATGCAAACAGAAGAAAATACTTTTTTGTAGAGTTTTAGCTTCTTTTTCTTGGGTTTTTGATGCTACTACCTTATGTGCTGTGAGAAGCATTGCATAAGCATTCCCTATTTTCTCCCCGCAATTCATGACTCTTTATACATTTGAGTGTGTCCTCCCTCAACCGTTTTTATTCTAGTCTACAA